CCCAAGTACTTGAGGGCAGAGGAAGAAGAGAACAATCCCACCGAAGAATCACTCGAACCCATAGAGGTTGTCCTAGGAGATCCAGATAAAGTCACTTAAGTAGGTTCCTTTTACTGGCCAAAAAAAAAAAAAGAGAAATCACGCAAGTTATTAGGCAAAATCAGGCATTTTTTTTTTTTTTTTTTGTGTGGAGCCACCTTGACATGCCTAGGATACATTCGTTAGTATCATGCCACAACCTCAGTGTGGACCTAGCATTCAAACCCATAAAGCAGAAGTAGAGGAGATTCACTTCTGAGAGAAACCAAAAAATTACTGAGGAAGTAGGAAAGTTGCTACATGCAAGATTTATCAGAGAAGTTTAGTACCCACAATGGCTCTCGAACGTCGTGGTGGTACAGAAGAAAAATGGTAATTAAAGGGTCTGTATAAATTTCACCAACCTTAACAAAGCTTATCCTAAGGACAACTTTTCTCTCCCAATGATAGATTAGATGGTAGACGCCACTACCACTTATGAAAGGCTCACCTTTCTCGATGCATATTTTGGTATCAACCAGATCCCCATGAACTAGAGGACGAGGAAAAGACCTCATTCATCACAGAAAAATGAACTTATTGTACAAGGTAATGCCTTTCGAGCTGAAGAACATTGGGGTTACTTATCAACGCCTCATCAATAAGGTGTTTGATGAAATGTTGGGGAAGACTGTGGAAGCATATATAGATGACATGGTAGTCAAGAGTGAGAAGAAATAGGATCACCACAGACATCTCCAAAAAGTGTTCAACATGTTAAGAAGATTTAACATGAGGTTAAACCTCACCAAATGTTCCTTTGCAGTTTCATCAGGCCAATTTCTTAGCCACATCGTTAACAGAAGAGGAATTGAAGTAGTCCAACCCAGGCTTGGGCTTTAGTGCAGAATCAAAAGCCTAAGACTCAGAAAGATGTACAGGTTTTGATGGGGAGGATAGCAATGTTGAGTTGTTTCATCTCCTACCTCTCAGAAAAATGTAAGCCATTCTTTGATGCCATTCGATCAAAAGAGAAGAACATATGAGGCCCTTAGTAGCAAGAAGTGTTTGCAATACAAAAATGAAATGAGGGTATGAACTAACCTGAAAAGGATCCAAGTCCAAACAGTGAAAAATGACATAGATAGTGACAGAAGCAAACTCTAGATGTAGTTGCGAAAGAATACCAATAGTCGTGAACATGAACCGTTTTCAACATTTCTAGCAGCTGCATAATTCAATTCCCTTTGAAATAAGGACCGTTACCATTTTAGGAGGGAATTGGGAGTAAAGTGGAGATCTAATCAGAATATGATACACCAAAGGTGTGGTCTCAAAGTCCACACTACCACCCAGATTGGAACCAGAGTTAGAACTCATAATACAAAAATGAAATGAGAGTATGAACTAACCTGAAAGGGATCCAAGTCCAAGTAGCAAAGAATGGCAGAGACAGTGACAAAAGCAAACTCTAGATGTAGTTCCGAAAAAATACCAATGGCTGCGAACATGAACCGTTGTTAACACTTTTAGTAGCTGGACAATCTATTCCCTTTAAAATAGGGACCGTTACCCAATTTAGGAAAGAATTGGGGGCAAAATGGAGATCTAATTAGAATATGAGACACCGAAGGTGTGGTCTCAGAGTCCACACTGCCATCCAGATTGGAACCAGAGTTGGAACTCATAATACAAAAATGGAATAAGAATACGAACTAACGTGAAATGGATCCAGGTCCATGGAGAATAACAGAGACGGTGACAGAAGCGAACTCTAGATGTAATTGCGAAAGAATACCAATGGTCGCGAACGTGAACCGTTGTCAACACTTATAAGAGCTGCATAATTCAATTCCTTTCTAAATATGGACTGCTACCCAATTTAAGAGGAAATTGGGGGCAAATTGTGGTGGAAAAAATCTTACCCCCAATAAGAATCCAACACATCACTAAAGGAAGTCCCAACAAAGTAACTGTCTTAGGCTAACCAAATATTAGACCCAAACCAACAATCAAGGCCCAAAAGTGAGGTCCGGAGTAGGGTAAGACATCATGGCACTAGCCCGCAAAATGGGCCCGTGAAGAACTAGTCTAGCAAACAGTTCTCGGCCAAAATGATAGTCCAAAGAGGAGAAGGCCTAGTTTACATAATCCACCTACCACTAGTATTCTAATTATAGTAAGCTTCTTGTATACGAAAGAAGTGAAGAAGGAAACAATCTATTATGGAAGTATCATGGGGGACAAGCAATGCGAGTCCAACCCTAATTCTTTCACGAATTTGTATAAATAAAGACTTAAACCTCCAATAAAAAAGGACAATTACCTATATTCTTTTTTATTCATTGCTTTTACTGAGTGTATTGTGATTATTCTTTAAATTTTTTAAGTTAACGAATTTTTGCACCTACACCCTCCACAACATTTTTTGTTAAAGGTTGGCCGCTCACATAATTTTCTAGGTTTGTCCTTGGAGCTAATTATAAAATTAGGTGGAGTTGTGAGTTGTTAATTTATAAGATGGTGCATCATATAACTATAAAATCATATAGATGATTAATATACATAAATTTAATGGTAAATAATTAATATATATATATATATATATATATATATATATATTGTAATATAAAAATATATATAATTTTAATTGAATTGAATTAGATTTGGATTACTTTTAATCCATATCCGATTAAATAAAGTAACATGTTATTAAATTTGGATAATTATTGTATTATCAAATTTCTTATTCAATTCATATTTGAATAATTGGGTCCGATTTGTATCAAAATTCGATCCATTAACAAGTCCACGTAAGACATATCCAAATGCTGATAGATATACTGTTATTATACATAAGAAGAAGTGTTGTATGATTTTCACACCAAAATAATAATAATAATATTAAAATGTAATAAAGAAAATTACTTTATGAGTCGTATTCCTAGGTTTATTTTATAGCTTTATTTATGGACTGCTAACTTTAGAGTTGTTGTACTTGATAGATGGAATATTTAGGCTTTTTATAATGGGGTTCAAAATAGACATCGTTTTCACAATTAAAGCATGACAATATTCGTTCGGTTCAACGTTCAACCATACTCATTACAAATCACGCAATAACCAAAACATACTCAATACTTTATTCCCATTTAACAATAACATCCCATAATTATACGATACGTAAAGAATTTGAGATGAGAAAACGATAATTTGAAGAAAACGATAAAATTTGAAGTGTCGCATTTCAGATGGCAAAAACCAGCTGGACGCGCTAGATCCGAGTGGTGACTGGGTCCCACTTCACGTGCTTCCGGGAGGGCAAGCTGTATCTTTTTAGAAGCCACGTGTCGACTTTACATTTGAGTCCTCGAAGGTCTCAACTCGAATTGGGGACCACCTAATACTAGCCAATCAGGTGAACCCTCTTCCCTTTTCTATACGTCGTGACAAATTTGACAGAAATTTTTTATCATTTTCCTAAAATGCCCATTGCCTTTTTTTTTTTTGTCTCTCCCATAATTTAGTTTTTATTTTTATTTTTTTAAAACACATTTCAGTATACACGCACTATTCAAATCATGAATTCTTACCAACATAGTTATGCCCATATCAAAATCTCTACATGCGAAATAATAATTATGTTCGTTACAAAAATATTGTGATCTGGAAATTTGATTATTGTTTTGTATGCGAGAATTTTAGTATTTATTTATTATTATTTTTTTCATGTGTATCGGCCCCATAACATACGCACCATTCAAGTTATGGGTGTGATTCGAAAGCGAGACCTGAAAAACTTACCCTTCGAATCTCTGTTAACGCCGCTATACCCGAATCAAAATCCTCACATGCGAAATAGTAATTATGTACGTTATAAAAATGTTGTAATCTAGAAATATAATTATTGTTTCGTATGCAAGAATTTTAGTCATTATTTTTCAACAATTGTATCTTTCTCACCATTACAAACCGTCTTATTAAGGATTTGTGATAAGTGAAATTGTAGTGTTTGTTGGATATTGGATTATATAGAACAAGTCGGGTCATGTTTTGTGTCATTATATCAATTATGCAGCAGCTTAAATTGTTAATGTAATATACATATTTTTTAATGTGTATATTGGTTACATTACGATATAATTGCAAAAATAATCTACAAGCAATATGATACCAAGGCATAGGATCTCTTTATTGGAGAAGCTCCTTTTTTTTTAAAAAAAAAAAGAAAAGACAAAAAAAAAAAAACATAGTTCATAAAAGTGAAACTCGAAATAATTTAGTTTTTATTTTTATTTTTTATTTATTAGGATGGAAAATATTTGTTAAATTTGTAGAGAAAATTGAACATTTTTTTGAAAAACTTATGGTCTATTTAGTTTAGTTTCAATTTTTTTTCTCTCAACATTTTATTGAAATTTCATTTGGTACGTCTGCGACATTTGATAGATTATAATTCTTACATTCTATTTATACTAGAAGTTCATAAAAAATTAATTAGAGGAACGTTTTTCCATTAAATTTTTTTTTTTGTTCTAATTAGTAATATCAAAATTTTTAGAGACCATTGACTTGCTGCTAACAATGAGAAAAATAGATTTTTTATTTTTTCCAAATTGAAAAAAGAAAAATTCAAAAATTGAATAAAAAAAATTACCTAGTTGTATAGAAGTGAACCAAACCGCATAATACAACATATAATCAAAGTATATAATTTATGAATTTTTATGTGGGACTGGGTTGAATTATCACGTCAGTGTTACCATAAAAATTTAAAGTACAATAAAGTTTTTATGATCATAAATATTTAGTGTACCAATTCAATTTAGATTTTTTAATTGAAAAAATGGCTCTCAATAGTAACGGTATGAATATAATTGCTATGTTCTTAAACTAATTGATCGGGGGTATTTTAGGTAAGAAAAATGCTTTGTAGGCCAGAGAAAAGAAGAAGAAAGAGAGAAGCAGAGGAGAAAGTTAAGAGAGAGAGAGAGGGCGGGGCTTTTTAGAGAGAGAAAGTGAACCTTATCCATTACTCCTGCATCCCGACCTTTATAAAAGCAGATCGAGCAAACCAAAACTCAGAGATAACTAGAGAGAGAATACAGAGCATTTAGAGAGAGAAAGAGTTATATATATATATATATATATAGTGTTTATATATAGCAATTCATATTGGTTTTCCCCATCGATTTCAAGCCATTGATGGCGGCTTCCAAGAGCTACTTCGCGAGACCGAACTACCGATTCCTCTCCGGCGGCGACCGAGACTCTCCAATCTCCACTGACACCGTGTCTTTCGAGCTCGACGAATCGGACGTCTGGAACTCGACTCGGTCCGGTTCGCCCGAGTTCCGCAAACCGGTTCCGAGTTCGCGGTTCTCGAATAGGGCGGTGGAGAAGCGAGCCGAGGCCGGCGCAACGCCGTCCTCACTGCCGGTGAACGTACCGGACTGGTCGAAGATACTGAAGGAGGACTACAGAGATCAGAGGAGGAGAGACGGCGGTGACGACGACGAGGACGACGTTGACTGCGGAGGGAATCGGATTCCGCCGCACGAGTTGTTGGCGAGGACAAGAATCGCCTCCTTCTCGGTGCACGAAGGCATTGGGAGGACTCTTAAAGGGAGGGATCTGAGTAGGGTGAGAAATGCAATTTGGGAGAAAACTGGGTTCCAAGATTAACACAGAATTAAAAGTTTCACAAAATACGTTACTCATCAATATTCATAGAGTCGTAGTAAACTGTTTTCAATCTTTGTTATGGTTTTGTTTTCTTTTTCGATTCTGGTCACCGTGTGTGATGAAAGCGGATCCATAGGTACATGTAATTCTAAATTTTGAGAGAAATTTGAGAAATGTCGGGTTTATCGTGAACCTTGTCATGTGAATTTTCCTTTCTTTTCCTCAAAATTTGGGGATGAGTCCCTGTAATATTATGGGCAAAAATAACCTTGTTATTGTTAGGGTTAGAAGATGAAATTATCCATTAATTGAATCGAAATTATATCATTTCAAAATGACAAAAGTACATTAAAAAAAACTGCATTAGCAAAATCTTATATAGCATGTCACAAAAACTGCATTAGCAAAATCTTATATAGCATGTCACAATACAAGTTTAACATTAGACGTTACATCTTAATTGCAATAAAAATAAAAAAAATAAAAAAAACAGTAACCCAACTCGGAGCTGAACAAAAAATAAACAAAAATTTATATTTACAATCAGGACAAATAGGAAAAAACCACAATATTTTTTTTAAAAAAAAACCAATATTATCTCCATAAAACAGTTATACAAAAATAAAAAATAAAATAAAAAATACTACAAGTATGATGACAATTGGTACACCAAAAAAAAAAAAAAAAAAAAAATAGCTATTTATAAACAGTAAACAAAACATTCAAGATATAAATCCCTTGAAATATTAGATGTAAACCCAAAAATGATCAGTCGAAATGTCACAAATAAACATGATTTAGGGTAAATATGATTTATTGAAACCTAAAATGACAAATAAATCATAAAAAATGAGGGCAATATAAGAGGAGGGATAAAACAGTAAGTTACACTCACTCACTCCCTTCTCGATTTTTCTTTTGAACAATGATTTTGTGCATTAAGGTAAATTTACTTTCATCTCCAAAGGTCAACTAGTTAATTTGGACTTTGCTGTTAATTGACGCAGATGAAAACCTCGTAGGTCCTATATGCAATTTGCCCTAATAATATTATTGATGAATCACAACGGTTGTTCATCAGTGGTTAAATATGAATTCAAATGATCAAAAAGCTCTCCAAATGAAGGTAAGGTAGCAAAATGCCCATTATACGTTGACCAATATGACTTTATTTCTCCAGTCTCTTCTTGATTTAGAGTAGTGATATTTACACGATTTGTTACAGCCTAATCGAAAGTTTTTGATTGATTATTTATGTATAATACAAGTAAGTGGAGAGGTTTATTCCTATTTTTGCTACATAGATGGACCAATTAAAATAAATAAGTTTGACAAATCACTGTAATAAATCGTTGCAAGAATCATTTTCTATTTATTTATTTTAATTTTTTTTTTAACTTCGTCGAGAAATACATTTAACTTACCAATATTAGGTTGCCAGGAAGTACGGATATGAATATGAGATGCAATATGATACGAACATGACAATATGATAAATTTAAAAGAAATGATAATAACTCATTTCACAATACATAAAACAAATATTTCTAGTCATCACTTAATAAAATTTGAACTAATCTTAACAATTACACCATGTTATTATGTTGAAAAATAAAATATTCAAAACTTGTTAAAAATGTGTTAAGTATCTAATAAGTATTGGATAAGCAGTAGAATTATTTGAAAAGTATCGAGATACGTGTTGGAAATTAAAAAATATATATTTTAAAATTATGAATACGTGTAAGAAGTATTTGACACGTATCTACGAGTATGAAAAGTATAGATATCCAACACGTATTCGATATAGGTACATCTTTCTTGTAAAAGTATCTATGCTTCCTATCTAGGTTGTCTCTTTTAGTTTATATATATATATATATATCTATATATATATATATATATATATATATATTACCTGGTGAAGAAAATACAGTCACAGACAGTCTCTTCACTTTCTAATTTGGAGAATAATATTGAGGCATAAAAGTTAGGCATATTTGTCAAAGTAAAACAATTAAGGCCATTAATGGTTAAGAAATACATTCACACACAATCTCTTCAGTTTCAAATTTGGAAAATAATATTAAGGCATACATATTAAACCTATTTGTCAAAATTAAACAATTAAGACCATTAATGGCTTGAAGTGGAATCTAAAATGGGTTCCACTTCAAGCCATCAATGACCATAATAGTTTTACTTTGACAAATAAACCTAACTAGTCAGCCTGAATATCACGACTCTTCTAATTTTTAGCTTCTATTTTAAAAGACGATGAAGTACTACAAAATTAGAACCTTGGTGGTAGTTTCTAATGAAATACCCAAATCTCTCAATATTGTTCTGAAGTGTTTTGTGAGTATTGGGGACCTTATATGTACAGGAATGAAAAAGAATGGAATTCTCATTCCAACCATTTCTTTATTTGATATGCAATTTAAAGTGGGAATGACCATTCTATTGAAATGAAAATTAATTCTTGGGAATGAAAATCCATTTCACAACTAAACCTATGGAATGACCATTCCATTCATAAGAAATTTTTAGCCTTGAAACCCTATGACATGGATTGTGTGGTTTCAATCCTACTTGTGCATGGAAGGTGGTTTCATGCATTACTGTTGACGCTAAAATCTGCTGGTTAGATCCGATTCTAAATTGATGTAATACGGGCGTGCCCGAACCAATTATATGGTTCAAGTGTAAATTGTCAACCGCAGTCCCTTTAAGAAGGTTGAGTTTCAGACGATGCGAGAAAAAAAGGGAATAATAAAACTCCTCTTTTGAGTTCAGAATTGCCTTAATTAAAAGGACTTTTACAATGAATAATTTATAGTAATAGATTGAGAATAGAAAAAGGGAGAAAATCTGGATATAGAAAGAGATAGAGAGAGAGAGAAATAGAGGGAGTGGATTAGAACGAGATAGAGATAATGAGATAGATAGAAATAGAGAAAACTAGCAAGGATGCTATTTAGGGAAAGGGCTTGAGAAAGCAAATACAATAATAAAATGATTTTGAGGGTGCTGGACCTCTAGTACAGCATGCCTCTTTATTTATTTATAAAATAAATCGTAAAACAAATTCCTACACATAAGCATTCTAGATACATCAAAACTCTATCAAATAACTAATTACACTTTTTGAATAAAAACCTAATCTTATAAATAAACATAATTATGCAATTAAATAAATAAACAAATTGATATACATAAGCAATACCCTTCCTATCTATTTGTTATTTCAACTCATCCAAACCAATTCCATCTGTAACGCTTTTGAACATAATCCATGCAGAATTCAATCCTTCTTTAACTGCAACATCACTGGTGTTGTCGTGAACCAACAAGTTAAAAAAAATGTTAAAGAGTGGACAAGTTTGAATTTGTAAAGTGCCACTACTACCTCTAACTACTAATATAGCTAAGGTGAGTAGGGTTCGTCCCAAGGGAAAATGAGCTATATTAAGATGGAAACAATGTTGGATTAGCAGTTCGAGTGATAAAAATGTTTTGATTGGTTAATTAAACTACAATGTCAAATAAATTGATGCAAGGTAAAACAATTAAAGTAGAGTAAAATGTAGATAATAAAAGAAAGGGATCTTGAGACTTAGAGGTCACCACTAAGCATCATCTTTTTAGACACTCAATATGTAATAAATGAGGGGGATTACATGTTGCAATACTAATGTATATGATTGATTGAATCAATAAGCATGGATGACCAATTAAGCATACATTGTCTAGATAAACTAATGAATAGCACAATGTATCAAATTAAGCCATTGTTCCTTCCTTTAAGCTCACAATCAAAACATATTAACAAACTGAGAAATATACTATTTGCATTCATAAGTATGGAACATCAAACAATAAGCATGGATTGTCCTCCCATCTAAGAAATTAAGACAACTATACTACAACTAGGCTAGGGACATGAAAATTAAACTAATTAAACTAAAGAATAGGCACAATCAATCAAGAAATGAGTATGAACCATCAAACAAACCACAAGAGTATTCCATTAAAGCACTATGCCTTGACAATCTCTAGATTCATAGCATCAACACATATAGACATGCATCAATATCACAAAACCTAGAGATAAACACATGAACATATATTTTAGCATATATAGACATATAAATAGAATGAAATGATCAATTGGAAGTATTAAACCACATAAATCATTATAGAAACAAGATTCATGTATAAATCAAATGTCAAGACAAGAATTACAACACAAATCCCCTCAAAATACAAAGCATCAAGGTCTAGAAACCATGCTTAGGGCTAACTCTAGCCCCAAGAAGATGTTTAGCCACTCATTGATGTAGTCATCCAACCCTCAAGGGCTATCTCCATGGTAGGAATGATCTTTTTCTCCTTGATGGAAACCCTAGATGAGTGGAAGAACTCCTAAATGGTATGTATCTCTCTAATCTCTAGACTCCTCCAACCTCTCTCTTGTATATAATTCACCAAGATTGTATATGTATAAAATGACTCAAAATCCTTACATAGGTAACTCAAGTGTCACACCCAATGGTCAGACCTCATGCACTAGGACCTCCAAATGATTGCACCACGAGCACACCTTTTTATTAGCTGGAACTCTATTTTTTTCGCACTTGAGGGGGTTTGATCGATCGAAGTGTGGTGAGATCGATCGAACCATGGCGGCGCCTTTTGGAATACTGACAAATCTGAGATATTTTTGGGATATTTTGGGAAAAGGACAAAAGTGGTAGGTGGGGATAAGATCAAAGAAATTCAATCGATCGAAATAATATTGGATCGATCGAAGATGGAAATTTCCTAAGGATAAGGACAAGAGGCTCAATCCATCTTGGCATGGTTGGATCGATCATTATGAGATCGATCGAAACTTTGTCTGATTGATCGAAGATTACTGTTTTCCACCACTTTGCTTCCACTTTGCTCCTTTCTTCCATTCAGCTTGAGACTGTTTATTTTAAGCTCTAATTTGGCTGAATTAACTTATTTTGGGGATAAGTGCCTGAAAAAGGAAATAACACGAAATTAGACTAAAATGGAAAAGTACGATAGGATAAGGTCCTAGAATACCCAAGCTTAAGGGGTTTAAATGCGCATTTTTCAGCGCTTATCACACCCCTAAACTTAAATATTGCTAGTTCCTAGCAATGAACTATAAAGTAAATGAA